GGGTGTGTGTGTGACAGGTGGTTATTGGTGTGTGTGTGTGTGTGTGTGTGTGTGGGTGACCCCAAACCTTAGCAACAGAGAAACCCGGTAACTGCGCCGAGGGACAGGGCGGGGTGGTCTGGGCGCCAGAGCCAGCATTTCTGGAAGGGCCTCGATTCCAAGCTGCCTTCCAGGTCCCTCTGCGTCGCCGGCCTCACCGCCACTGTGAGTATGCCAGCTACCCCTAGCATGTCCCGGGCACAACGCCCTGCGTCCGGTCACAGGGGCCCTGGTGGCCCAGGGGCTGACTACAAGGTCGGCAGTTCAAAGCCACCAGCCACTCTGCTGGAGAAGGAGGAGGTTATCTACTCTCGTGCAGAGTTCCAGTCTCGGAACACCGTGGGGCGGCTCGACCCTGCCCTGTAGGGTGGCCTGAGTGGCATTGGGCATTGACTCTGTGTTTTGGAGACGTGTTAAGGACCAGATCTTGTCCTCTTCGTCATCGCGAGTAGACAGCTTTCCTGTTATAATGTGGAAATCTTATTAGGTAGGTGCAATCTGCCTTATTACATTAGCATCACAATTGGATTCTATTCTATAAATATAATATGCTAATGCTTGTTGAGATAGATGCATATGCATATAGAGGCACATGCTAAATATGAGCCAACGGCATAGTCTTTTTTACCTTGTCTAATAAACAAGAGGGAGCATCAAGTGACCCCTCTCCGGTAACTTGATTCCCCCCGAAAATCCTTCCAAATCACAGGGGGTGGGGGTGTCAGGTAAGGGAAGTAGGGGGATGTGACTTCCTGTATCCAAAGCAAGGAAGGGACCCGAGCAGTCATATTTTATATGATTCATCACATGATCAAAGAAACACCATGCTGTTAGATGTGCCCTAGCAGGTTTGGTGAAAATGTTTATCCCGGCGAATGCATTTTTACCCCTAGGGTGTGCCCACTGGGGTTCAGAGGAGAGAGCTCTCATTCCATTGAGCTGTTTCTCTCTGACTAAAAACGGTTTCCAGGAAGTGGGTGGAAGTTTGAGCTGGAGAAGCGCTATTGATTTTTTTTTCTCTCGGGCGTGCTTGGTGACAGCCGGTGACAGCGACAGCTTGACAGCACTGCAAAATAAGGCCCACTTATCCAAGGGGGAAGCAGACCGGCGGGTGCAGTCATCTGTGCTGCAACAGATCCAGGGACAGCCCCTAAAAGTCACCGAAGGGCCTTTGGGGAAATACTTGAATGGAGAGTGAGAGTTTTGTAAATTGCAATTAATGCTGTTAATACCAAATATTATCCCCAATAGTTTGGGAGACTGGATGTATACACAGGAAATAATGATGAGCTCCTTTATATTTTCTTTATGTGCAACAATCGGTGCGGTCTCTAAGCACTGTGGGGTTGGAGAGAAACCAGTAGGGCTTTAAGGAGTGGAGTGGGGGCTTGAACTGGATCTGGATGGTCGGTGTGATGGGGTGGAGATAGGCAGGAGTATTAGGATGTGAGGTGAATGTGCTGCCATTGTGAGATCCAGTAAACAATGACTAAATCTAACTCGTCTTTATGCACAATGGGAGTTAATAGGGTTAAATATAATCATGGTTTCTTCTCTCATAACTCTGCCATCTAAGCAGATTGTAGACATACAGCACTGATTGTATCAGCCAGAAATGAAAAGGACTGTCAGAGCTACAAGTACAAAACCCAAACCCATCAGAGCATCGGGATAAGACAGAATAGAAGTGCTTCATTGGGCCTCTGAGGCTGCAATGTTCCCACAAGTGGACTTTCTCCCTAGGGACAGCCTGGAGGTTTGAAACACCAACCATTCAGTTAGCCGATGAGTACTTAACTACGGTTCCACCAAGAATCCTTTGAGCTACCCGTGTTGCCAAAAGTGTGCAGCGGCAGGTCTGTGAATAGTGCCAGGGAGCGGGGAGGGGCAGAGCTTGCGGGCTAGAAAGGCGTCTCCAGGATGATGTGGGACCGTAGGGTAGTTGGAAACCATTAGGACTCAAAATCTGAAAAGTGTGTGTGTGTGCTGGAGAAAAGTCTAGTGGTAAATGGAGTTCCCAGAACTCTTCTAGATCTCGGACTAGAGTGGAGGGAGCCAGAGGCGCCCAAGACTGGGGCATGGAGACTCAGGAGCAGCACGGAGACAATGGGGCACCTCCTCCTCCTCTGGCCCCAGACGTTGGGACTGTGAGAATGAGTGGCAGGCAGACTTCTTTGTCCATGGAGGCAAAGGTTAAGGGATCATGTGACTGAAAGGTTGAGGACCAGAGAAAGACTTGGCTGCTGGTGGGGGAAGTATTGCTGTGGAGCAATGGCTGGATCTTTACTGTTTGCTGATTCTGACTTGCAGTAACCTGCCAACTCTCTCAGTTAACCCCCTTATTGGGGTGGGGGTGTGTGAGAAGAGGCCCGTGCCTTGAAAAACAAAGATCATTATGTGTCTTAATTTTGAGGTAATTTGATTTAAATAAAAAGTGCTGCACAATACCCTGAAAGTAAAATTTTTGGGGGAAAATATCACCCGTCACTTGAGAGATTTCGGTGGTAGAAAATCAGGAATTCGATGGGTGTTTGCATTTTAGGTCCCACGGTGACTCTGAATCGACTGGGTGACAGTGGGCTTGCTTTGGTGAAGCAGAGTGTGGAAGGCCTGTGAGACCTTCCGGAAAGTAGATGCACATTTGAGACTGAAACCTCCCTGCCTTCACAAAGTCAGAATTCAATATGTTTCCTTTCCTACAAAATGTGTGGTATTTTGTTAACAACTCAACTGCCATTCAAGCCTCTGGCTACCCTAAATTGCGCGAAGGGCATGCTGGCTTAGTTGTGGGTGGAGCCTAAAAATACTTGTGCTTGAATCCATGAGAATGAAACAACAGCTCTTCTCAGTTTAGCTCCTGAACACTTTCTATAGATGTAGTCCATTTCAAAAGACGGCACCGTGGGTTTAGACCTACTGCCGTCAAGAGTCTGCTCTGCGGCCACAAACCTTTACCAGAGCAGATAGCTGCGGTTTCCTCCTGTTCAGCCCGTCATGGGTTTGATCTGCCAACCTTGTGGCTAACAGCCCAGTGCTTATGCAACAGCTCCACCAGGGTTTCTTATGGGCTTGGGAGTGATGAACTAATAGTCCCTTGCACAACCTCCACTGCTAGCAGCTGTACAGCAGTCTGTTAGTAATGGTGTCTCCTTACATGGGGCCAGGGTGAAGTTAGAACTTAGGCAGTTTGCAAAGACAGAGGAAAGGCAACCTGTCCTGAAATTTCTCCTGGGAGCTCAATTTTTAAAGGCTTTACCTTTCTGTACTCAAGGGTGTCGAGTGCCACCGTGTGGACACACACAGAACTGCAGGAATATGCTACCTGTCAGGATAGCAGGGAACCAGAAATCTTAATTTGCTCTAATGCCAGGGTTCCTTCCACAGGGCGTCCCTATGAGTCAGCAAGGACTCGATGGCAGGGAGTTTTGAGTTTTTTGAAGAACTTAGAAGGTTATTTATATTACACTCCCTTCATGTAATTGAACCACATCTCCTATGCTAAAGGCCCACATAAACAATTCTTCAAGTGTTAGCTGTTGGCTCTCTGAGGAACGTCTGTCATTGGTCTGGCCGTATCTCTTGGTGTAAAGGTGAATGTAGAGTTCAAGGATGAGGGCTGTGGACATCTGCACGTCTATTCTAAAAAATACAAGTGCTTTGCTGTATTCCCTGATGGGAAGTGAAGATTTCTTCTGCGTTGGATACTATTACCATTCATGAAGTCTCCCTTTCTCTAAGTAAGGTACATTAGCTATGGGTAAATTCAACCAGAAGAGTTGAAATATATGTAGCTGTTTTCCTGGTGTCAAGAGTGGGTCCAGGCATTTATGTTACTATTATTTTTTTTGGTGAGGGGTGTGGAGCTAGCAAACAGCAGGTCATATGGTCTTAAGCACAAGGGAGCTGCTTGGCTGCTTCACAGTGTGATTCATGCTTAAAAAAAAACCCCTACTCCCATCCAGTTGCTGCTGACTCTTAGCAACCCTATATGACAGAGTAGAACTGCCTCTAGGTTTCTGAGGTTGTAACAGTCTCCTGGGAACAGATGGCCCTAATGTTCTCCCTCGGGGCAACTGGTGGGTTTGAACTACCAACTTTGTAGTTAGCAGCCTAGTGCATAACTTACAGTGCCTTCAGGGTTCCTGCTCTTCCACTAGCAGAAGTATCCTGGGCCCGGTTTCGTCTCTGCACACTGGTAGATTGCCACGTGCCTGCCCCAGACAGCTTATTCCCCAAGAAATCCATCTTACCTCTCTGATCTACTCCAGGGAGTATGGGTCCTCAGGGAAGTCGTCCTGGAGCACCCATCCTCCCTGCACCTCCTCAGGACACCCTGCCCCTCTTCCTTCACTGTAACACTTGTCACCTGATATACCACAGCAGTTTCGTGCATATTCACTTAGATGTACTCTGTCTGAATGACGATGCAAATTCCTTGATGGTAGGGATCTAAATAGGCTCACTACTTTCTCTAGTATCTGAAGCAGTGCCTCCCCTACAACAGGTGCTCAGCATCAACTTGTTAAGTGAATGGTTTTAGAGGATGGGTGTTTGGACACAACTAGAAAAACCAAACTCACTGCCATCCAGTCAATTCTGACTCAGCTACTGTAAAGGACAGAGTAGCACTGCCCCGGTAGATTTCCAGGACTATACATATTATGGGAAAGCCTCATCTTTTTCCCAGTTTTGACACAGGAGGTTGGAAAGGCCAGGCTAGGACACAGCTAAGGTAGAATTGGCTCCAGTCAAAGCCCAGGATGGTGGATGAAGGTGGGAAGAAAAGCTACTCATGAAGGAGAGCAGAGCTCTGAGAGGAGGAGGGGGGAGCCTGCCAGAATTCAAACTTATGTTTTTGCTCAAGTTTTGTTCTGTTAGTTGGCCCATTTAAGTCCTCTTAAGCTTGTCCCTTCAGCACTCTCCCTTGAAGCGTGCCCTTGGTGTTCTGCTCCTGGATCATGAGCCCCAGGAAAGGAGACCCACACTGCCCTGCAGCTTGTGGCACCAGGGTGGTACAGCAGAGGCCTCTGCCCCTGGGAAACCTGAACAGGAACTCGGGGCAAGTAGGAGGCATCAAAAGCTGCAGAGTCCGATTCTAGCTGCCCTGTAAGTAGAATCAGCTTGGGAACAGTAGGCTGGAGACCCCAACCCCAAACCAAACTCATTGCCATAGAGAGGTCTCGACTCAAAGCAACCCTTTAGGGCAGGGTAGAACTCCCACTGTGAGTTTCGAGACTGTAACTCTTTACGGGAAGGGAAAGTCTATCTCTCTCCCAAGGAGCACCTGGTAGTTTCCAACCTGGACCTTGTGGTTAGCAGCCCAACATGTAACCACCACGCCACCACCACGCCACCAGGGCTCCGTAGACTGCACACATGGAAGGTTTTTCTGGGTGAGATCAGTTGCGGCTTTGGTCTTAGGCCTGGCCCAGCCATTTAGCAAGGGGTCTTCCCTCTCTGAGCCACGTTTGCTGCATGGTGAGAGGGTGTTTGCTTTCAGGGTACAGTGTGCAGTGCGGCCAGTTGAACATCAAAGCCATGCTACAGTTCCTTCCTCTCCACCCCTGGTTGTAGGTGTAAACACCCTGATTGGACCAGCTCTCAACTGGTGCGTGAGTGTGGGGGCCTGTCTTCTGCTCCCAAACCTGAAAACAAGCAGGTGCTACTTCCTTGACTCCTGGCAGCTAGTTCACAGGCTTCATCAGGGGCGAGCCAGGGGTGGTAGGGCAGGGTGCCCTGAGCAGGCGAGGCTGTGTAGGCTAGGACTGCTGCTGTTGTCATGGTCTGAGGCGCCCAAGTCCTGCACTTGGGGATGGTCAAGGGAGGGCACCAAGGTCCTGAGGCGGGGCTGTGTATGCCAGCCTTGCTCTGTCTCTGGGGTCCTACACTGATCCCTGTGTGTGTAGCTACTACTTAGCTGAACTGAAGGGGCTGGACCAGGAGTGGGCAAACTTTTGAGAAGGAAGATCCCATCCTCTCTCTCCCTCACACCCATTTAAAAATCATTCATAAAAATAGATGTTTACAAACAAATGAAATCGCCATTATCTGAATAATATGCCTCCAAATTTTCAGGTACTTCAGCACCACATGTCTGTACTGAAAGAGTCACCGTTTGCCCACCCGTGGTCTAGAAGAAGAGGTCCTTTCCTGTCCAAAGTAGTACTGAGGCTCTGCTTTTGTGCTGAAGTCCCTCCTGAGAGGGCTGTCAGAGAGGTGTCTGTCCTATGACTCTCAGCACTGCGCCAGTCCCCCGGCGCTTAGTTGGTGCTTGCTGACTGCGGCCTTACGAGGCACAAGGCCCTGTAAGAAGGGATGCTGTGCTCGTCTCTGCCTTTCCCCCACCCCATCTCTGAACTTTCCAGAAGCCCAGCACCCTTGGTCATGTACTTACCCAGCAGCACAAATATGCAGGCCAGGATGGCAATGAGGGCGCCCCGGCTCAGGCTGACTGGAAGCATGTAGGCCTCGGGGCTGCAGGACATGACGTGGCCACCTTCGTCACAGCTGCACACCTGGACGGTGAGCGTGCCCGTGCTGCTCAGAGCCGGCTGCCCATTGTCCAAGATCTGGATGGGCAGGTAGAAGATGCTCTGCTCCTGCTGCCTGAAGCCGGACCTCCTGGTCAGAATCCGGGCAGTGTTGTCTGAGGAGGTCAGGGGTCCAGGGCGGGAAGGAGGGAGAGAAAAATGGAAAGGGGAGGAAAAGTGCAAGACCCAATCAGTGAACTGATTTCTCGGGTGGGAGGGGGAGCCAGGGGCAGAGCGGTCTGTGGACAGAGGTAGGGGCAATCTTTCTGTGCAGCCACCGCAGTCCCGGCCTGGGCTTGCATTTGCATTCAGAAGCCCAGATCTTTATTTGCTTCTAGGCAGAGCCCAGAGGCCATGGCAAGAAGCCTTTTTTTCCCCCTCTGCCTGCCTTACCTTTGGGACACAAAAGTGCCCAGGGCGAGCTGTCAGACTTCAGATCCAACTCAAATGTCCCCAGGAATGTTTGACAGAAACAAGCAATTACGGGTGACTCATGGGCCCTTTGATGCTGGTCAGCAGCTTCCCGAGGCCCTGCTGCTGCTCTGCGCCTAGACCCCCACTGTTGGTGGCAGGTAGCTTGTCTTTGCCCCTCTCTGCCTTGGCTGGGGTTCTCTTGATATCCTTTCATGCCCCTGCAATGAGTCACCAGGTCCTCCAGTGCTCTTTGAAGAACCTCAAAGAGGTTCATCTCGCCGGGGCATTTTGAAATCCCCCAGTCACACGACATGCTCCTTTATTCCCTCTTCTTGGGGGGCTGAGGGTAAGCATTAAATGAACTCGGTGAGACTCCATACCTGATGAGGAACACTCATTTCCCCTGCCCCCACTCCCCTCTCACCAGTCTTAAAGGGGGTTCATCCAAATGGTTAGGTGTGGTTGAGTTGGTTCCGACCCGAGCGAACCCCATGCACAACGGTGGGAAACACTGCCAGGGCCTGCGTCATCCCCCCAACTGTTCCTGTGCTTGAGGCCCATCATTGCAGCCACAGCGTCAGGCCATCTCCTTGAGGGTCTTCCTCTTTTTCGCTGCCCTTCTACTCCACCAAGCACGATGTCCTTTTCCAGGACTGTGTTTCTATAAAGCTGATAGGTATATTTATATTAGGCTCATATGATCTAGGAGCCCTGGTGGTGTGGTGGTTACGCATTGGGCTGCGATCCACAAGTTCAGATGTTTGAAACCCCTAGCTGCTCCGATGTTTGAAACCCCAACTCCTATTAATAGTTTCAGTCTCAGAAACTCACGGGGGCAGTTCTACCCTGTCCTATAGAGTTTGTTATGAGTCGCCATTGACTGGATGGCAGTGAGAGTGTCATAATCTGGAACTTAAAAACAATTTAAATCATTTTATTAGGGGCACATACAACTCTTATCACAATCCATACATACATCAGTTGTGTCAAGCGCCTTTGTACATCCATTGCCCTCATCATTTTCAAACATTTGCTCTCCATGTAAGCCCTTGGCATCGCTCATT